TGTCTGTACAGCTGCCAGAGATGCGGTAGTAAATGTGGAGGATTATTCTGGGCTCCTGTTGCAGTAAAACTCTCGTTTTATTACATGACTGGGGTGTATTATAGTCTTTGTTATAAAAAATAGGGCAACTGTATAAATTAAAAAATAAATCTGTACTTGAGCGTGAGGTGTTACGGTGGTTTCTAGAGGAAGAAGCACAGGCTTTTAGATCCAAGTCCAGTGTCTTATTGGAGATCTTGAAAGTGACTTTCCCGCTTAGCCTTTTCCTAGCAGTTCACAGACACTCATCACTGTCTCTCTCTTGTTCCTGCTCCCTTGAGTCACCTGTTTATACAGACACTCTTCTGCCAGTGATTGAAGTTTGTCTTAAGAAGGCTGATACATCATCAGTACTAACCTTGGTGTTCCAAGGTAAGGATTTTGGGTAGCAAGCACGAGAGAGGGGACCTACGTGTGGTATCTGTAATTTCATTGTAGTAAAATGCATAGTTGGCTGGCTGGGGAAAAAAGAAAGCTTCTCTCTGGTGAATAGAAAAAAAAGTTAGTGCTATTAATTTACTCAGTGCACTGAATTTACGTATTGACCTCTTGAAGTAGCTGGACAACTCCCATTCGATAGAAGACAATGATAAAACTGCAGTCGGGATCCTTGTATCTCAAAGTAAATATGCCTGTGCAAAGGATTACTTTAGTTGCTTATTTTCCTCTGTGGGTATGTAAAGGCCTGGGAATGGATGCCTTTAGTTTTCTGAATTCAGATTGGGGTTTTTTATCTTTTGCTTTGATGGAGAGAGAAAATTCAGAAAAGCAAATGGAGATTAGAAACTGGGGAAAATGGTTGCTCAGAAAACCTTCCGGTATTACTGTATTCTAACTTCTAGTCAGTGATTTTTATGGTGTTACTAATGAGATTATAATATGAAAAGACAGATTATTGAAATGATTCAAAATACTCTTACATAGCTCAGATGAGTCTCATGTACGCTTTTCTTAAAATAAGTCGGGCAATCAAGTAGATAGGGTTAGCTGAGAGATTTGTCTGCTGAAGTATGTTTGCAATATATGTCCATGAACCATAAAGACACAACATTTAACTGCTGAAAGATCATGGATTTTAAATCCTTTGGGTTTACATTTTATTTGTTCAATACCCCCTTAATGGAATTAAGGGGTAATGAAGTTCTGGCCTTTTATGGTGCCCTGTTGTGGCTGAACTAAATGAGAATGAAAGACGCTACTCTGACAGTTGCTACAGGATGTTGGCTTTCTGCTGTGTATTATTAGGCTATAAAACACACATCTGGTTCTTCCTAACGTAAGATTTAGTTGAGTGAAATTATCTGGCCAGAATGAAGTCAGATCAGACTGGATCTTTGATAGCCTTATCACTTAAGCTGCTTCATACATGTTTTAACTAGTGAGTACAGTATCTTTGTTTATGCATGTGCCTAGCATGTTATAGCTGGGACATAAGTTATATGCCTTATTAATTAATAGGAGAAGAAAGAATTGTTATCAAATGACAGAATGGATGATGTTGGAGAGTATCGTGCAGCAGATATGTAAGAACAGTGGTAAAATCCCCCCTGAGCCTTCTCTTATCTAGGCTGAACAACCCCAGCTCACTCAGCTTCTCCTTGTATGACAGATGTTGCAGTCCCTGATAGTCTTCATGGCTCATCAGTGGAATTGCTCCAGTATGTCCCTATCTTTCTTGTACTGGGGAGCTCAGAGCTGGACCCAGCACTCCAGATATAGCCTTCATACTGCTGAGCAGAGTGGAAGGATCACTTCCTTTGACCTGCTAGAAACAATCTGCCTAAATGAGCCCAGGATGCAGTTGTCCTTCTTTGCCGCAAGGGCGCATTGCTGGCTTCTATTCAGCATGTTGGCCAGCAGGACTCCTGGATCCTTCCCTGCAAAGCTGCTTCCCAGACTGTCAGCCCCCAGGCGTCTAATGGTGTCTGGGGGTTATTCCTCCCCAGGTGCAGTACTTGGCATTGCACAGTGTTGATAATTTGGGGAGTATTCAGTATTTATTTTAACTTTCTTTCTGCAAATTAACATTTTGATTTGAAATAGTTTCACTATGAAAATATTTAAAATGGAACTTCTTGATAACTTCAAAATACCTGCAAAGGCAGTCTTGAGAAATCATCTTTTTCTCTCTGAACATAATTTTGGCAGAAGTACCTCCATCCTGCCCCAAATGTCAACAAAGGACTAAAGCATTCTTCACAAAACTCCTTATCACCTTTAGCAAACAATTATTCATATTTGTGGGATGTATTTGGTGTGCTTTGCTGATTTTGGGGAATATGCTGTTGCTCTTAATGGACTAGCAGAAAACTTGTCATGTCTTTCTTCATTCTTGGTAAAAGGGAGAATCAGGAAGAAGAGGACTGCCCATTTGGGAACACTTCTAAGAATTAGAGTGCTTTGTGAAATATTTAAGTCAAAATTTGTGTAGTCAGATTTGAACCACCAAACTAAGTGGCTCCAATTTATAGGAGGTTAATCAAAATAACTGAAGGTTGTACGAAACATTAAAAAGTTTAAGAACAACTTTAGCAGCCCAGCTTTAAAAACCCACTCTACCAACCAGATTCTGTATTTTTTCAGGTTTTCAAAATGCGTTACATATGCATATGGAACAAGTTTTTTCATAAGCAGAACAAAATGGTAAAGAAGTTTTGTGAAGTGGATCTGTTTCTGGGTGTGTTATTGGAATTAGATGATGTGGTCATGAAGAATGATTAAATAACTTGATTCCATTAGAAATATCATAAGGAAAATACCAGCTTCATTCTAGATAAAATTGGGCAATTGTTTATTGAGCCACTTAGTGAAGGTGTCCTTAATCATGACAGGAAAAGCAAAAGCCTCTCTGCTGTAACCAGTGCACAGAGATTTGCTTTATGAACAACTTTTTGTCTCATACACTTTTTATTGTATTGTTATTTGAAGTTAATTTTTTTTCCACCTCTTGAAAGTAAGTGTTAATTTCCTATGGAACTGGAGTTCAGAAGTCGTGGTGCCTGCTGTCTTCTTCTGATGTGGTGGTACATGCTTCCTTTTGATGTCTTACTTTTTTCTCACTAGAAACTTGATTCTTCTTTCATCTCAGTATTCTTCTCAGTGGAAAAAAGGGTAATAGTAGACTTGAGGCTCAGAAACTTGTCATGAGAAATCCAGGGTATCATCTAAAATGCATAACCCCCGTGTTTGTAATTACTGCAGTGCAGCATATGATGCTGTCCTCGACAGAAACGTGGCCATCAAGAAGCTCAGCAGACCATTTCAGAACCAAACTCATGCCAAGAGAGCTTACAGGGAGCTGGTCCTCATGAAGTGTGTGAATCATAAAAATGTAAGTTTTCAGTAGGTAACCAGAGAAGTGGTATGTATGTTGGTTTGTTACAAAGAAAATTGTTTTGTTGAATGCTTTTTAAAATGGAAGAAATGAAAAGTAAATCATGTTCAAGGGCTACAGTCTTTCTTGGTACTACGTGCCCACATGAGAGTGAGGATGTTCCATGTGCTTATTTAAAGGCTGTGCCAAATGCGGGTGCTTCTAGCAAGGTTAGGGTGATCGAAAGGAAGAAAGCAGCATATGTTCTTGTAACTCGTTATCCAGAAATTACTAAGTGGTGGTTGGAATCCTGGCTCCGTCCTCGTGTCACTGGGATTTGTGACTCAAAAGTGGCGGATCTTGAGTTGGAGTACCCATGCACAAGCATCACGCCTTGATCTGGACTTCATCTGAAACCTAGTCACAGAGAGGCATTGTACGGAACGTACAGGGTGAGGGGTGGTCATAGTGAAGGTTGTGGCAAAACTGCCAAGGAAGATTTAGAACCAAAAGCACTGTTCTGTTCTCACGTATTTGTGTGTAAGCTAATGTCGTGGAGCCAGAGACTCTGAAGCCTCAACACCATTGTGCCGTTCCTTCTCACATGTTCTCATTGAGACTGTTCCTCATTGTTCACAATCACAAATTCACATGGAAAGAAAAAGGACTAACCCTAAAAGGGCAAACAGCAGGACCTGTCACCTGTAGTGTCCTCTGCCCCACTCCTGGGCATTGACTTACCCATTATCAACACATTTTCACTGTGGAGGTCAGGATCGTACCTGTCTCTTCCCTGTTGACTTGCATGGAAACTGTCCTCAGTCAGGCGGATGCATGGAGCTTTGAAAATGCAGGGATGAGAGAGTAGTTCACTCTGTAGGTAGGAGAATGATGCATTCTCACTTCATGTTTTTAGTGGGCTGGAAAGAGCAGAGGGGAGCAGCAGCGGTATTAATTTTAAATATATAATTTTTAAAATGCTGTGTAAGAGCTGATAGCAGCACCACATTTGTTGGTCAGTCTTAATCTGCCTGTGGAGAGAAGTGCAAAGGAAGGAGAGGATTGTAAAGACACCTGTGCAGAGGCAAGAATTGGTCAGAACGCTGAGAGGAGACACAATATTGAACCATTCCTGTTAAAAATCCTAGAAAGGTGATGGAGGTGGGGACATTCAGATGTTGTCTTTGTGGCTGCTGTGCTGATATCTCTTATCTCTGTGTTGCCCACACAGAAGCAAAGCACAGGAAATTTTGATCCCTGAGGTCATATTTTTCCTCTGTGCTCTTTCACACGTTCTTATCAGTGTCTTTCCACCGACAGCCCAGCCCATTTAAAAAAGGCAAAAAAGGAGTTGCAGTATGCAAGAAGTCTTTGCACAGAATGTGTCTACTGTTTTAAAATGCTTCTACTAAAATGTGGTACCTTTCATGATGGAATTTGTGTCACCATGTGTGTCCCTAAAGGAATTGAGGCCATGTTAGAGAGAAGGAAGGTCTGTTTAATAGGATGGTCCTTGATTATTTGTCCCCTCAGATGAGCATTCTTCACATGTAAGAAGTTTCTGGCTGTAGGACAAGGACTCCTGTGCTAGATTGAGCTGAAGTTGGGCTTTGAAACTGCAAAATTCAGAGTGCTGTCTCACCCTTGGCATTTTGGTTTGTTGTTGACCATCACTAATCCTTCTCTCGGAAACCATTTCAAGTGCATGTAGAAAAAAATCTTAGAGATCTGTGGTATTTTATTTTGCATGTTGATGACTTTTTGCTGATCCATAAAGTGAGAAGTGCTAGTACAAATTGAGAAGTGAAAAAACAGAGTTTATCCTTTAATTTAGATGTCAAAATGGGTTCAACTGCTTATGTTTATTACTTACTTTCATCATTTTGTCTCAATTTACTTTTCAGATTATCAGTTTATTAAATGTCTTCACACCACAGAAATCTCTGGAGGAGTTCCAGGATGTGTAAGTAACACAGGCAGTAATTAAACTAAAGCTTTAGAGACGTGGGGCAATACAGTGTACATTGAACTTAATAACTCAGCAAAATACAAAGGTTATAAGTCCCTCTAAAAATGATCATGTGCAGTCTACACTGTGGGTAGACAGATATTCTGCATTCCCATATTGAGAATGCTTTTGACACTTAGAAGGTGCCAACTACCAGGTTTCCTAAGCACTGCAGTAGCATGCCCAGACTGCTGGTGGCTCTTCTTGAGAAGGTTAGTGTGTTTGCATATACCTTCAAATGTGGAGGAAGGAGTATGAGTAGTTAAGAGGGCCTGCTTTTGTGTTGTTAGTCTGCAAGGGAAATGATGGTTGTTATGTGAGTTGCTGAGATGTGTGAGGTTTGGAAATGTGGCACTCAATTCTGAAATAATTTCCCATAAAAGAACCTGATGTGAAACATTTCCTCATTTCATATTTGTTTTGATATAACCTCTGACTGTGTAAAAATACTTTTCTGGGGACCTAGTGCTAGCTGTAGAGGACAGCTAGCATCTCTGCTGAACATCACTCTATTGCAGTCACTACTGTGCGTAGCATGAACGTGCCCTGAATGAAGTTTTAAATACGCAGTGTTTTATATAGTGGCATTCCTTTTCTCTTTCAGTCTTTTCCATATTCTCCATACATTTTATGGAAATGTATTCCTATTCTGTACTCTGATACCAGTAGTGATGACAGACAGATAGAAGTGGCTGAAGTCAGGTGACTACTGTTCTGGGTTTGGTATATACAATTTAAACATAACGTCACTGCGGATTTGTGCAGAGCAGATGAGGTAGCTAGTGCTGGAGAGAAAACGTGGCATGCAGCTCACATGGAAATGGAGAGCTAGTGTTTTCCACAAAGTTTGTGTGTTAATGTAATATTACAGTTAGGAATCAGCTGTGCTTGCGAGTTGTCGCGTAAGAAATGAGCTGATCTGTTTAACACATTACCTTACCACTAAAGGGAATTGGGTTAACAACTTGCTGAGGTGGTCAGTAAAGCTTATTTATCAGAAGTGCAAGACAAATCAGTGGTAATGAGACTTGAGTGAAGTCATGCAACCTTAGAAGGATTTTTGGAGATGTTTCACATAGGGATACATATTTTTAGCCTCTCTGACATCTCTACTACTCTCCAATTCCTACGTGTAGCCTGTGGTAGCCATTCCTCATTACGGTCAAAGGCCAAGCAGTTGTATCATTTGGTAGTTTTTGCTCTTCTGGTTTTTCTGCACACTTCAGTGTTGTGCTGCCTGTTTGCCCATGTAGGTTACAGTCTCTGACCTAGGGTATAGTCTCTGTCGTGGGGAACGCACCAAGAAAGGGGCAGCAATCCATCTGGGTTGCTGGAATGCTAACAGAATGCTGTCTCTGCAGTGAGAGACAAACACCATAGTGGTGTCATTGTGAGTGGGCCCGGTCTCCAGCTGTGTTACTTCCCATGATCAGAAATAAAGTTAATTTTGAAGGAAGAAAAGGCATTGTTACTTGTTTGAGATGATGCTGTGATTCCTCTTCAACACAGACAATAACCCTATGACTTTGCTTTTTCATTCAGTTACCTGGTAATGGAGTTAATGGATGCCAATCTGTGCCAGGTCATTCAGATGGAGCTGGACCATGAACGAATGTCTTACCTACTCTATCAAATGCTCTGTGGTATCAAGCATCTTCACTCTGCGGGAATTATTCACAGGGTAAGGCGCCACTTGAGTTTCTTGTGTGCTCTGGATTGAAACCCTATCTCCCAATAGAATGACTATAAAACTTACAAGTCATAGTCTGTCCCCTCAGCAGAGCAGGTTCGTGCTTGTGTTAGGAATGAGATTATTTGTGAACTTAATCAGACAAAAAGGTAATGTGATTATTAAAAATAAAAATTAACCACATCAGAAGCACAGGAAATCATCAAAGTGATTAGAATCTCTGAAAAGTATTATAGGTAAATGTTATTTCTCTTAAAAATGCAGCTGGCTACATCTACCATGCATGACATTGACACTGAATTTATGTTCTAATGAGGTCCAAGTATTGCTTGATCAGGATCCACAGAGGTCAGGACATATGGAATTGCATTTGCCATTATTTACGTGTCTTAAAACAAATTAAAAGACTGCTAAGTCTGTATTATTCTCTCATTTTACTTTTCCATGTCAGAGTGCTGTGTCTGGTAAGGAGGCAATACCTTGCTGTGAGTGCCAGAGGTAGGGCTATGTGTGATTGTTGGCAACAGAGGAAACAGTTCATGTGGCTGTGAGCAGGAGGCAATTCTGAATGGATTGAAAATATCCTGAGTTAAATTCTTTATTGAAATGGGCTTTTACTAATTTGGGATTTCCAACTGAAAAAAGAATCCAACAATGTTTTTCTTCTGTTATGAGAGGAAGAAAAGAAGAGCTGATGAAATGGGTTACAAATATACAAAATATAGAAAGGTCGTCTTTCTTGGCATGTTGTATGTTTAGCAAAGGATAATAGGTTTGGCTTCCAGATAGTCATCCAGCAAAGGATGAGTTGAGTTGTAAATGAAGCATCAAGCTATCATCTCCACACATAGAGTTGGAATGTCTATATTAGGCTCACAGCATTTTTTTAAAAAAAAAAAGTACTCTAATCCTAGTTTCTTCAACTGCTAAATGCAATTAACGTAAATAGACGACTCCTATCCAGGTGAAGCCCCACAGTATGCCAAGTCAGAATATCTTCCAGAAGAGTGTGCTAGAGAAACATTAGCAAGGTTTTGCTGTCTATTTGCAAGCATTTCTGATAGTAACTGTGCCAAAAGAGTAACAGAATATTTGAAGGGTGACCTAAAATATCAGTCCATATCACAGCTGTGCCTGGCTTGATGAGGGACAGTCATATGTCTTTTAACCATCTTTTACAGGATTTAAAACCAAGTAATATTGTGGTAAAATCTGACTGCACGTTGAAGATCTTGGATTTCGGACTGGCCAGGACCGCAGGCACTAGCTTCATGATGACTCCGTATGTGGTGACACGTTACTACAGAGCACCAGAGGTCATCCTGGGAATGGGCTACAAGGAGAACGGTAGGGCTGCAATTTCATAGAAAGCACAGTGCGGCCTGAAGTGTAAGGTCTGCCGCTGCAGTTGTGAGGGGCACCTGAAGGAGAAAAAGGAAACGTAATGGGAAATGACATCTCGAATTTAAAAGGCAGGTCACTTAGAGCAGTTTCTCACTGTTGTGTACTGCAGCTACAGAATATATTTGAGATGCAGTGTTGGTTAATTTATCAGTGTGGGATTGCAAAGTAATGAGAAACTTGTTCTTAGTTACGGTTCAACTTAACAAACACCATTAGCTCTTTCTGACCAGAATGTTTTTGGCTGCTGTGGCTGTGAAATAGTGTGGGAACCACTGGAATTGCTGGACAAGTGATGTGCCCTGAATTTGAGTCTGGGTCTCTGAATCGTTTGAGGGAAGAAGTACAAGCTGACGTGGGGAATCCTAGCCCTTCCAGTACTTCTCCTAAACTAGAGCTAGATCTGAATTTCAGGAATGGTTTCTGCTTTGACAGGTTTAACTAAAGTACCAGGCTTTGCTGACAGGTTTCATGTGGTCAAGATCTAGGTATAAATTTTGCAGTTTCAGTCTTTTTTTAAATGGAAAGTAGAGTTGGAGAGAAGAGGAAAAAACTGAAGCTGAAAAACCATGCATATAATTTAGATGTAAATAGGATTTTGCTCTAAACAGTCTGTGAGGGATCTGGATACCCCTTGGTCCCTGGAAGGATTGTGAAAAGTGGGTAGGATGTGCTCACTACAGAGAAGCAGGTAAGGAAGAATTCACATTTTGCAGGGGATGAAGGGAAAAGTTTGTAAGTGATTCTTATTTTGTAATAAAATTGAGAATTGCATCTGAGTGCCAAGTAGACCGAGCAGAAAAAGATGGGACACAACAGAGAGTGGAGAAAGCACTTGACTTTTGTCATAATTAAAATTGCACCAAGAAAAGGTTAGACACAGTTTTGCAGTGAAGTACATACATAGCTGGGAAGGTACTAAGAATGTTTGCCACTCCCAAAGGTCCTGATCAAATGCCCATTGAAGTTTCCAGAGAGACTTCCTTTGATTTCCCTGGGCAACGAATCTGGCTCAAGACTGATGATCTCGTCTTCCTTGTACAAGGCAAAACAAAAGTAAACAGAGAAAGAAAACGAAGTATTTGGAAATGAGGGTCAGCTGTCTGAGGAGCCAGTCTGCTTGGAGCCTCTGATCCAGCTCTCAAGGAAAGGGCTCTTCTCTGCTTCCCTGCCCTGGCCTATGCTGCCACATTACTGAAGCTCCCCTACTTTTTTCCCCTCTTACTACATACACTGCCTGTATGAGGACTGTTCACTGCTTTCATTTTCTTTCTGCACTTCGTTGGCTAAAGATGCATAATTATCACCAGTTTGTGGCACTTCTGTGGAAGGTCCCAAAACTGTCACTATGAAGAATACTCTGCCACTGCCTCAGGCATGCTCTTGCTGTCCCATGCCCTGATACCTGTACCTTCCTTTTCCCAAATGGAACATTTCATCTTTATTTTGTTTTATCAAGAAAGGAGTTGTTTGTTTCTTTGGTTTGTTTTGGATTGCTTTTGAAGGATAAAAAGGGGGGAAGAAAAAGAGGAGAAACTGGCTGTGTAGGTCAAACACAACCACAAAATGAGGATCCAAAGCTGAGAAAGAATGTTGTCTTTTAAAGCATTTGAAAGCAGTTTTTTCCCCTTCACATGGAATACAGGTCTTTTCTTTCTGTGCATACTGTGTCACTACCTATCTTGCCTTTTTTTTTTCTTATAAGACTTGAAGAGCGGAGAAAAAAAAATCACCACCACCCAAGTCAAGCAGATAATGTAACTGTGCATATTGCATCGAAAAGCTGAAGGCAAGATCAGGAAGATAAGAAATACTTAGTCTTGTTGGTACTTGTCCTGCAAAGGGTTTGGTTTAGCATTTGGGTACCAAGGCAGTAAAAAGCAGAGTCCACCCAGGTCACACTCTCCAGTTCTTTCCAGTCAGTATCTAGATACAGACAGCTGTCTGTGGATAGGTACCTATAGATAGGACATAGGTACGGATCCTGAAGCAGGTGTTTTAAAATAACCCTTGAGGGTGGTATTTATCCATGCAGCCTTTACTCTGTGAGCAGTTCTGGTTAGAACCTCAGTGTAGTGCTGCAGAGAGACTCAGTCCTGCAGGGCAAAGGCTAGAAACTGCCTGGCTGCAAGGAGGATTTATTCCTGGGTTTGAGGTTGGTTTTGGTTTTTTTCTTCTTAAAAAAAAGTTGTTTTTTCCCCCATAAACTCAGTGTATACCATGGGTCTGTGCAGTTGTTACTCGATTTTTACTTGCTAGCTGTGGGCCTTTCTCCAAAAATGTTGATTTAAAACTTTTTCCATCATTGTAACTAACTACCATTGAGCTGACCGACACAGCTTTTATTTATTTGCTTATTTTAGCTTTTGGTGAGACATGGAAAAAAAATTTTAAAAACCCAACAAAACCACAAAACAAACTGTACTGTTCTGCTCAACCTGCTCTTTTTCCCCTCCTTTAGGAGTGAAATGTTGTAGTTAACTTTGCTTTTTTTTTCCTCCTTCTTCACTTCCCTGTCTCTGCTGTTCTAGTGGATATATGGTCTGTGGGATGCATTATGGGAGAAATGGTTCGCCACAAAATCCTCTTTCCAGGAAGGGACTGTATCCTTGTGCCATTTGCTGCAGCTTCACCTATTATTTGTTCCTCTCCTCTACCCCATCCCTTTTACCATGTAATGACTATACCAGGACCGTAAAGATAGAAGCAAAAAGTTGAATCCCAGAGGTATGAGTAAATGAAAATAGTGCACTACTGATACGAAGAAAATTGAAAATGAAAAACAGATGCACAGAATTTTTTCAGTCAAATAAGTTGCTTTATTTTAAAACCTGTAATTATTTGATTTGATGCAGTCTTATGTATTGGAGTAATAAGAAATAGAGAAAACAAGCATTATTGACTACAAATTGGTTAAGTTTACTTACTATTCTTCAGAGGAAAAATAAGGGAAAAAAAAATAATCCTAACTTGGCCTATCTGATTCCTGTAAATCTGTTTTTCTGCTTTTATGTTTTGGAAATAGTGACTTCATAACATTTGTGGTGACATCATAATCTTTTGCTTGCTAATGCATCATGGATTTGGATTCATCTCAATGCTGTATGGTCTCAGAGTTGAGTCAGTACAACATTGTTTTTTCTTTACAATAAACTGGGCAAGTCAAATTCCTCATTTTAAGGCAACTGTTTTTCTGCTGTGGTTTCCAAATTGGTCTGAAATCAGATTCTCTTGATTTAGAAATGAACTTTCCTTTACTTGCATGAGGTCTGTGTTGTTAATTAAACTGTGTTTCCCTCCCATCTTGTTCTTCTTTTCTTGGGTAATATTATTTTTACCACTTCCAAGGTGGTGAAAGCAATATTAGAAAATGAAAACAAAAGAAGAGGTGTCTAAGCCTTTGGTTTATCACAGGCTAAGCCAGGCGAGCTGCCTGTGGTGGCTAGGAAGTGTAAGTAGTGCGTCTTCTGCCCATGAGAATACGTTGCAGCAACGTAACATTTTCCACTTTCAGAAACAAGAAGGCATATTATTTTCAGCAGGTGGGCAGAAAGACACCATAAAAATGTGACATCAGTAGACACTGGCAGTTGGTGTGGAGAAAACCCAGCTTTTAGATTTAGTCATGAAAGTAACTCTTTTTTTTTTTTTTTTTGCTGGCTCTTCAGCAGAGTTAGGTCCTCTTGCCTGTCTTGTTTTCACAGCTCTGTTGACTTTCTCTGCAAATGGAGCTCTGCCCCGTAGCCAGGTGAAGAGGGAGTTACACTTCACTGACAGGTGGATGCGGAAACTGCAGGTACCTCCCAACTGCTGAGGAGGAAACAGCAATGTTGTACTGGCTTCCAGCCTTATAGGAATAGGGACTGGGAAGATATCAGATGCAGAACATGACTATGAAGTAAGAATGGTGGGGTTTATTATTAGTGGAATAAGAATGATGGCTTTTATTATGAGTGGATAGCTGTGGGATGTCACTCTATAGGTGCTGAGCTTTTCTTGTGACACGTGTAGCAGGCTGTGTGCCCGCCTTTTGCTGTACTGTTAGTGTACAGAGCAGCTCCCGGCACATAGGAGACGTGTCATTCAGTGTGGTAGCTCTGCTGTGTTTCTGTGGTAGAAACACCATCATAACTCTTCCTCCAAATACTCTGGTCTTTCCTCCTTTATTTTTTTTTTGGTAGAAAGAAAAAACAAATTATCTATAATATACTTGAGATTCAGCTGTAGATTTTTCAACAAAAAATGATATTTAAATCATTGTTCTGCTCATTTCCAGAAAAAAATAAATGCTACAACATAGCTTTTAAAAAAAAAAAAATCATTCAAACATGAGAATTAGTTTTTTTCTGTCTGGCTGTGACAACAATCTCCTATGACAGCGTCTTATCCCTTATTCAGGGGTAGCAACAGAATATTCTTAAAATACCTTTTAACATTACAGTATCAGTTAAAAATAACAACTGAATTCTTGATCAAATGCAGAAAACATTGTGTAAATTGTGGGATAGTGCTACTTCTAAAATCATTGGAAATCCCATGCTCTGAAATGCAGTGTCTGTGGGCTGGGTCACAACTGCTACCTCACTTTAGTGGTGGGTGTATTCAGGTGAGTTGGAAGCTTAAAAACGAGGGAATCTGTACATTCATTTCCAAGTTAATACTAATTTGTTCACTAGTTTGACTCCATGAATAAGACTTTTCAGTGGTAGAAATACTGTTTTTTATAGGGTCCATATTATTTCTTCTCCCTCCATGACTGTTGATGACCTCCTAAATAGAGGAAGAGCTGGAAAGACATTTATGCAGCTACAGATAAACTTCACAGAAGGACATATAATAAAGCTTCCCTTGGACTACTTAAGGCTTCCAGCAGTGGGTTTTCTAGCTGAGAGAGGCAAGTCTATATAGAAACTAAAAATTTCAGTTCTTTTTCGTTATTCTGGAGAATATCTACTGTGTGCACTTGCTATTGATATAAGGAGCTTACTCATTTCTACCCTGGAGTAAGAACATTCATGTATAGCACACTACACATTAAGAAAAATTTCACAGCTGCTGCCAGGTTTTATGGCAAGAAAAACTTTAAGAAGTTAATCTTAAGTAAACCACCGCACTGAGTTACCGTTGCACTTGGGTGCTGTGGGCTGTACATGTAATTTCATTTTTAAAGTCTTCGTGGAAGTTAAACCGTGGAGAAGATTAATTTCAGATCATCTCATTACACAAATAAGAAGCTCTCCCTAAGTTACTATAAGAAAGCTCTGACATCTGTCTAAGCTACAGGTACCAGTATGTGAGAACTGTCCTGGTTAGTGTAAATGCCAGTTGTGCGTTTTCCAAAAAATTTTAACAGAATTAAAATGTTCTCTGAACATGTGTTCAGTCAACTGTTGCTGTCATTAGCAAAAAGCAAAACAGTAGTTGAAAATGACTGCTTGGTGCATGTTACTGAGGTGTTTAATCTGATTGACCTAGTAGGACGCTTGAGAGGCAGCAGGGCTGAAGGGTTGGCCCGTTCAAGGGTTACAGACAAAAATATTCCTGGCAAGTTCTGGTAAGCTTTTGTAGTCCACTCTTGAGCTTGTCTCTCAGTTTCTTTGATGTTTATTTCACTCACGTCTCAGTTAAATCAAAAAGAGTTTGAGCAACTAAAACCTGCCCAGGCTCTTGGATGCCACTGGAAATATGTTGGAAAACTGCCAGGACTTTCCCCAAAGCTGCATTCAGCTCTAGCTAATAATGTCTTCAAAACATGGTAAGATTTCAATTTAAGGATTGAAAATGTATTTCTGGATGTTTTGGGGTTTTTCTTAAGAGAAGGGAAAACTGAAAATGGTTTCAAGTGAGATAGATTTATTAAGATCTGAGCTGCTGAGGCCACAGTGATGTCCCAGAGGCACACATGGCTTAGTGGGGAAAGCAAGCAGTCAAAGAGCATCTCTTTTCAGTACTGGGGAGACATGTAGAGGGTGGTACTCTAGCAATTTCACTCGAGTCCTTCAGCAGATCAAAGGAGGAACAGTGATTGAGGCATAGAAAGGTACTGTGATAACAGCCAGACGTCTTACGGTTGGCTAGGCCTGGGTTACAGTGGTGAATATGGAAAACAAAATTCATACTGCAAATAGCTTAGAGTCTCAGACAGTCCACATAGAAAATCCCATTAAGATAGTAAGAGAGAAAAAAATCCACTTACTCTTTGTAGCTGTGAACATCCAAAATGGATTGTGAAGTCAGCAGTAAGAGATGAAGTTAATGTTTTCTCTAGTAAGATTCTAAAGAAATTCCTTTGTCCGCCAGCTGTCTTTGAGAGTGGTGGGATTAAGAGATCCTCTTTCACATGTGACAGAGTATATTCTATTGTATTTTTGCAGGAATTTGTTTGGAAAGAAATTGCTTACCTGGAGGGGTGGGGGTG